ACTCTGGGACTGTCCCTGTCATTCGTAGCCTTCTGCAAACCGGGCACTCAGAATGTAAGCTCCAATACAACCCTCCTTGGATCTTGTGCTTTATTATTTTCGATCCTGGGATCACATAGGCTGCTGTGCTTCTTCTGTATGGACTTAGCTGTCACCACCTTTAACCTGATGTGAAGGGTCTCTTTTACCTGACAACAGAGATGAAGGGGAGAGAGAGCAGGTGTGACAGAAGTCCCTGTCCACTTAGACCTCAACACACGTGCGTGAGCATCTTACAACCAAATGTGATGTATTTGGTCACCTTTAAGTGCCCCAGAAGTGTCTGTCAAAGGGGATGCTATCGGCATGTTGGTTGGAATGATTCTTAATTGAATGGAAGACGTTGGCCTGAGGAATGCTTGACATCCATTTCCCCCAAATGCTTGTGCTGTACCCCTTTCAGTAAAGAACCAAAACTGTCTGCACACGACCCCTCCCCGAGAGCACCTCTTACCAGGAGAAGATGCTTTTCTGTACGTATTCCACACCTGCCCTGCTCTCTTGCAGTAGGCACCCCCAGTGTAGGTGCAGGCCTTCCCAGAGCCACATCAGGCCTGTTCAGTGGCAGTTTTAAGAGAGGAGCAGGGAGTAGTAAGCTGTCAGGATGCACAAGCTAACTGCCAGGAGGCCGTGCCAATTGTCTCACTGAATTTGCAACTCTTTTTGAGGAAACACTACATTTTTTTCCACGTGGTCCATGAATGGCAGGGTGGGCTTAAGCACAGGCACACTGACTCCACATCTCGGAGCCCTGGGGCACAGCTGCACAGAGACTTTCCCCGAAGTGGAGAATGCCCACGCCAGAACCCCAGCAAACATGAAAGCCCAGTATACCTGCTTGTAAAATCCCCCTGCATGCTTCAATCCAGTAGCACCTGAGGAGGTGCTGTATTTCCATGTTTAACTAAATCAGTGTGGGGCTGGCAGCCTGTATCCACACACATACAAGTTGAAAGGATGAATCAGCCGCCACTCTGCTGTCCCAGAGTGCTGCAAGTGCTCATGGCAGCAAAGGGCCATGTAGGAGCCCTGGGGGCGCTGTCAGGTAAGACTGGACTGCTAACGGCAAGGTTGGTGGTTCAAACCCACCAGCCTCTCAGAGAGAGAGAGGGGAGGCATTCTGTTCCTATAAAGATTGACCGCGTTGGACACCCTGTGTAGGCTCGATGTGAGTCGGAATGGACTCAAAGGCAGTGGGATGCAGCGATCAAGTTCAGTACTGTGAAAGACCTTCCCGGGCTGACAGCGGTTCAGCCAGGGCGTATACTGCTCATACTCAGAGAGCTCAGAGCACCTTATCTGCCGGGTTCTGCTGGGTGGAAGGGAAAGATGTGAAATTTAATTCCAGGTACTTGCCCATTTCTTCAGCTCTAAGCCCCCATTTTCTCTTCATGAAGTGGAAGTACTACTATCAACCTTCCTCCCAGACCGGCTTTTGAAGGACTAGAAAAGCACTTTTAAAAACTCAGGACTTGAATACATTCTCCACCAGGTGGCAGACTTGGGCAGTGAGCAGCTGGAAAGTCACAGCTTGGAAACACCTGGTGCCATCAAACCAAAGTAAAGAGGGACTGCAGTGGGGTTGACTCTCAGCCACCCTATTAGCCAGGGGAACTAACTGGCCCGGGGGGTTCCAAGTCTGCCATCTTCGGGGGCAGACAGCCCCATCTTTCTCCTGCAGAGTGGCTGTTGGAACTGGCGCGCAAACGTGCCTTTGGCCACTGCGCCACCACGCCAAGAGCTCCCCCATCACACTTACACAGACACCTGGGTAAGGGGAGGAGAAAGGCTTTCTTCTAACGTCCATGGAGGTCACAGAGCCGGAGCCGGAGCCACATGCTACTGCGCTTCTGAACCCCATGCCCAGGGAGGGCCCTGGGGCCACTCCTGCCCTGAATGCCTCAAACCGGAGTCCCCACGCAGAGACACTGACTGCACGGCCGGACGGGCCAGCTCAGAGTGCCTGCTTGCTCCACCCAGGCTCTGCACCAGACTGGAGAAGGCATTGCCAGCGTCTACCCTGGAGACCACCCCTCTCCCTCCCCGATCACAAGTCCTGTTTTCACTTGCATACATTCACACGTAGAGTTTCCCCTCCTAAAACAGCCATAAAAAAGAACAGAAGCCCTTCACACAGGTATCTTTGTGGAGCCCGAGGTAAAACCCACAGCTTGACAGATGTGGGAACTGGAGTTCTGAGAGGTTAAAGAAGCCGGTAGTGGCTGAGCAAGCAGGGCAGCCGGTTTGACGTAGTTGTAAATATTTGAAGATAATGGGTAGGGTGGTTAGGAGTTGAGATTTGGCTGCCAGAAGTCTCAGGTCCCCTTCCCGGCCCTGCCACTCAGTCAATACGATAACAGCGAGCCATTTGCCTCGTGTCTATGCACCTGATTTTCCCCTTTGGTTGAACAAGGGTGCCAAGCGGCCCGGCCACCGTCTCTGGTGAAGATTAAGAGAGATGCGCGTGGAGGGGCTGAACCCTGGGCTGGGCACTTTGCGACCTGCTGGTCCAGAGCCCACTTGGACTGAAACATCAGTTCACTGACTGTGGCTGCCTCTGCACCACCCACACTGCCCCTGGGGCCCCCAAGAGCCCCCAACACAGTGGCAGATGGAGGAGGAGGGTAGGTGCTGCGGATACCTGGAGGCCGTGGCTCCGGCCCTGCTTGTGTATGGCTCTTCCCCTCCTTGGGAGAGTCATTTCTTTGTATTACATCTTC